CCCATTACCACTTGTGATATTTTCAGACTGAAATTACCCCATTACCACTTGTGATATTTTCAGACTGAAATTACCCCATTACCACTTGTGATATTTTCAGACTGAAATTACCCCATTACCACTTGTGATATTTTCAGACTGAAATTACCCCATTACCACTTGTGATATTTTCAGACTGAAATTACCCCATTACCACTTGTGATATTTTCAGACTGAAATTACCCCATTACCACTTGTGATATTTTCAGACTGAAATTACCCCATTACCACTTGTGATATTTTCAGACTGAAATTACCCCATTACCACTTGTGATATTTTCAGACTGAAATTACCCCATTACCACTTGTGATATTTTCAGACTGAAATTACCCCATTACCACTTGTGATATTTTCAGACTGAAATTACCCCATTACCACTTGTGATATTTTCAGACTGAAATTACCCCATTACCACTTGTGATATTTTCAGACTGAAATTACCCCATTACCACTTGTGATATTTTCAGACTGAAATTCATTGAAGTATCAGGGAATACTGGGACAAAGCATAATCATGATTTAACAATGAATCACTACCTGTATATTTGTAAACTGCGATGATTTAAGTGCCATCAAGCTAACACATTATCCAACAACACTAGTGTCGCTCGTATCTTGTAGGAACGATAATGATTTGATATTCATGAATTCTTTGAATGCTTATGCAGATCTTTTCGACACAGAAGTAGCAGGGAATGAGTTTGTAAGAAGATATATAACATCCAAGGGCACGAACAATATGATAACATTGCATTTTTACCTTGTTTGTATAAGATGTCAAGGGGGGGGGGGGGGGGGGGGGATTATTCTAGAAGTCCCTATTTACATCTATAAATAAATATTGTTAATTATGGTTAAATACATATTATCCTGTTGAAAAATGTCGTAATAATCCAGCCCCTTGGCCTGATATTGGAGTCTCGGGCTGAAAAGGAGGAGGAAATGGAAATGCATGGTCATACGATAACCTCTACTTTTACCTTATTTGTATAAGATGTCAACGGGAAAAAATGTTGATTTATAATGCACCACAACTACAATGTATTGTAGGCATCCCTGTTTACATAACCCGGTTCATTATGGTGGAATTTACAAGTCTAACCAGGTTCCTACAAACAAATTATCCTGTTATAAGATATCATAATAAGACACTAGAAAGGACCTTCAGGATGGGGGCCCCACCAAATTGTTCTCATAAACCAGCACCACACATTATTACACCTGTAAAAATTGTGTTAGATTACAGTGATTTTTTTTAATCAAGAGGCATAACTCTCTTAAAAGGGAGAAATGTAAACTTTTAAAGTAAGGTGCACAAGTGCATGATAAGCTGGTATAATGTGGACATGGATTATAGAGTTAACATACTTGCCAACTTTTGAAATTTTCATGGCAGAGGTTACGCTTGCACGGAATTAAAAACATAAATAAAAGGTGTGTATATACCCCATGGGGAAAATATCACTTTTAAAGGGCATCTTCTGAGCTGTTCTTTAAGATGGAATCATAATACCTTAGAAAATAGGTAAGCGAGTTCACTGGTTGAAGATGATCAATTTTATTTTCCAAAATCGGGAGTCTCCCTCCAAAAAAGGGAGAGTTGGCAATTATGCGCTAATTAGGAGACGGGAGTAGAGTAGGGACTGACATAAAGACACCCTACCTGAATCTAATGAAGGCCACTTTAGTTTATTGTATTTAGAACTGTTTGACTGGTTTGACCAGAGTTTCTCACGCATGAAATAGGGACAGACTTAGTGATCTGATGTTGCTACTCAGGTGAGGCGTGACAAAGTCATTACCACAGGTCTGTCAGGGTTTACCTCGTCAGGCTTTACCTCGTAACTGTTCCATTTAATTGTAGAGTACTGGTTTTTCTGCAGTAACAGGCCCCAGCACACCACCCTAACTTTGTCCCATTATCCCTTATTTTAACAACACTAGATTTTTTACACAGGTCCCCAGACATCACACCACAGGGAAACTGGTCGTATGATGTATAGCTTGCAGACTCTATCAACACAAAATGATAACTAGGTATTCATTTTACAAGTTTATGATGCGTGAATTAAAATGTTCTCTAGCATCCTAGGCCTGTCTGTCGATTTACATGTGGCTTAACAATGTACAGGAGCTTGCTGTCGGAAGTTCTGACATTTATGTACCAAACCTGACCGCATAGAACGGCCAACACATAGTTTGTTAGCAGGTATAACATTACAATGGCTGGACAATTGTATCATTGAGTTTGATTATGACAATTCTGGGTTATTTTTTTATTTCACGTTTTCATCATTTTTTTCACCAGAAGAGACACCATGCATTTTTTAAGATTCAAATGAAGATCATAATAGAACAGAAATATGAATATGTGAATTTTCAGATGGAGGGCAATAATCATTGAAAATAAAATCGGTGAAAAAAGTACTACTGATATGGATGCTTAAATAGTCAAGATAACCAGGGTAGAAATCTACTCTGGGTAAACACACATAATTGTAAAGACCGTCTACCTCTGATGTAGATAAGACAGCCTTTGAGCTTATTTTCTTAAATAAATAATATACATATTATGAAATAAACTTAGCATTAGATTTATACTTCTCAAAGACACATAATAAAAGGGGATAATACATGATAACTGACCTCCTCCGTCACAACATTGAGTATAAAGTGTTCCTAAAGGACAAATCAAAAGCAGACTAAGATAATAGCCCACCAGGCCCCGCCCCTACTCTCCACTCCTCTTTTCTTCATATTGGCATCATCTACAAACATGATCACATTTTGTACCTGGCAGGTTTTCCTCACCACCTGTGTATCTAGATTAACAAAGTTCTATGATATCATTATTCAAGCAAACTACTAAAGATTTGTCAGAACTAGCTCCCAACCTGTGATATTTAAATCGAGTACAGGAGAGTCAAGGTCATCAAGACTTTCAGAAAACACATTTTGTGCAGTAATCACTGAATTCCCCCTATATGTCGTAATTGATGGGACCTCAATCAAAGAACAGACCATACCATTGACTGATTATAGGGAAGGTGGGATATAAAATACCGATGACTAAGAATGTCTGCATAACTTACTGAAATTGAGTATGTAATGAGATACATCAAATGTTAACCTTATATGGTAATTGTCAGACAGGTTTAAGTATGAACCACACACTTTCACCTGAATGCTGATTTGACATGCGTTATAAAGCCACTGACTGTGAAATACAGCTACAACAAGATCACTATTTTTTAATCAGCATGTTTTGGTAGATCTGGGACAACTTTAGGGTTACAAACCTGAAATGTTTAGGTGAATCCTAGGGGGTTTTGGTAGATTTGGGACAACTTTAGGGTTACAAACCTGAAATGTTTAGGTGAATCCTGGGGGGTTTTGGTAGATCTGGGACAACTTTAGGGTTACAAACCTGAAATGTTTAGGTGAATCCTAGGGGGTTTTGGTAGATTTGGGACAACTTTAGGGTTACAAACCTGAAATGTTTAGGTGAATCCTGGGGGGTTTTGGTAGATCTGGGACAACTTTAGGGTTACAAACCTGAAATGTTTAGGTGAATCCTAGGGGGTTTTGGTAGATCTGGGACAACTTTAGGGTTACAAACGTGAAATGCTTAGGTGAATCCCAGGGGGTTTTGGTAGATCTGGGACAACTTTAGGGTTACAAACGTGAAATGTTTAGGTGAATCCTAGGGGGTTTATGTGCAACATTCACTTGATATTTCAGAGGAGGATCTTAAAACCAATTTATTATTGTTTTTTGCTTTATCAACACTGGAAAATATATTTCCAGCCTTTGATCATAGGGGCTATTTGTTTAATTTCATTGTTTATTTTTTATATTCATAGAAATATATCCCATGATCTTGCAGAATGGGCACACAAGATATCCAACCAGGTATTTTTAATGAAAACTTTCAGTGGAAAAAAAAAAATCATTGTAAAAGATATCATTTCTTCATTATACCATGTTTTCCATACAGCAATTGAGAAGTCAATTATTTATCTCTCATACAAACCTATGTATTGTGACTTTAACAGTATGCTTCACATTTCCAATGTTTATTTATTTGAAGATGAAACAAACTTACGCCTTGCTATGTAGTCTACCATAGAGACCTGCTGTACAAACTTACGCCTTGCTATGTAGTCTAACATAGAGACCTCCTGTACAAACTTACGCCTTGCTATGTAGTCTACCATAGAGAACTGCTGCAAAACCTTCCGCCTTGCTATGTAGTCTACCATAGAGACCTGCTGTACAAACTTGGGCCTTGCTATGTAGCCTACCATAGAGACCTCCTGTACAAACTTGGGCCTTGCTATGTAGTCTCCCATAGAGACCTGCTGTACAAACTTACGCCTTGCTATGTAGTCTACCATAGAGACCTGCTGTACAAACTTGGGCCTTGCTATGTAGCCTACCATAGAGACCTCCTGTACAAACTTGGGCCTTGCTATGTAGTCTACCATAGAGCCCTCCTGTACAAACTTGCGCCTTGCTATGTAGTCTACCATAGAGACCTGCTGTACAAACTTGGGCCTTGCTATGTAGCCTACCATAGAGACCTCCTGTACAAACTTGGGCCTTGCTATGTAGTCTCCCATAGAGACCTGCTGTACAAACTTACGCCTTGCTATGTAGTCTAACATAGAGACCTGCTGTACAAACTTGGGCCTTGCTATGAAGTCTACCATAGAGACCTGCTGTACAAACTTACGACTTGCTATGTAGTCTACCATAGAGACCTGCTGTACAAACTTACGCCTTGCTATGTAGTCTAACATAGAGACCTGCTGTACAAACTTGGGCCTTGCTATGTAGTCTACCATAGAGCCCTCCTGTACAAACTTGCGCCTTGCTATGTAGTCTACCATAGAGACCTGCTGTACAAACTTGGGCCTTGCTATGTAGTCTACCATAGAGACCTCCTGTACAAACTTACGCCTTGCTATGTAGTCTACCATAGAGACCTGCTGGTCCTCCTCATTACTCAGTATCTTCATAGTGTAATACGACATCAGGTCTCGACATTTGTCAATGGCCATTGCCTCACACCACCCATCTCTCTCTGTGCACGTCTTCTCCTGAAAATATATGAGTGGTCAAGATATTTGATAAAGATGACCCCAATCTACCCCGTCCCCTTAGTCAAAAGTGTAGCAATGTTTTGTGGAACAACTTAAGAGGTCTTATGTCATCAAAGTCCTCCTTTTGTTCTTTTTCTAATGTGAAGGCATCTTCATTACAGAAAAGTATCTCAATAACCTACAATGTTTCCGAGTGATGTATTAAATGTCCTACTTTACATACAGTAGGCAAGTCAAAGACAATGTATGTAAAGCATGTACATGTATATTGAACATTTAAATGACCCAAAAAATATATTAAATATGCATGGTTTTAACCCCACACATTTTATTCCCCGTCTGCCATTGCCTTGTGTAATTGATAGTGTGACACACAGGATCCTTGTTTTTTCACACTGCATAAATATGTAATGGTTAACATCCTAGGAATGTCACCATGTGTATGACAGTACAAATGTAGCAGTTAAAACCATATCAGTATTCAGAGTTTTAAATGTCCATTTAAAGTAAGGATCAGGCAGAATACTGACCAAGGTCAGTCATCTTTATCAATAAATATTTTTGTCACAGGTGGCCGAGTGTTTACAGCTGGTTTACAGACAGTAGCTTTTATGGCACAGTATCATGTTAAGTTGCTTTTATAATGATACGCTCAAGGTCAAACTTAAGTTAACAAAACAAGTCCTGCTTTGACTCATACCGGGTAATATAAAAGATCAAATTTGACACCCTGACTAAAATATTCTAAGTCTACAAAGGTAGCTTTCAGTAAATTTCCTCTGTGTTGTACAATTTGATTCAGAAATTCTGTGTAAATTTAGGTATTCTTTAGCAATATAGAAACAAATGTGCTCATCCTTTACAAAGTTCATCAACCAAACAGAACACATTGTATATACTTATATACACTACCGATCTGTTATCAAACAGAACCAATGTATGTACATATATATACACTACCGTTCTGTTATCAAACAGAACACATTGTATATACTTATATCCACTACCGATCTGTTATCAAACAGAACACATTGTATGTACTTGTATACACTACCAATTTGTTATCAAACAGAACACATTGTATGTACTTATATACACTACCAATCTGTTATCAAACAGAACACATTGTATGTACTTGTATACACTACCAATTTGTTATCAAACAGAACACATTGTATGTACATATATACACTACCGATCTGTTATCAAACAGAACACATTGTATGTACTTATAAACACTACCAATCTGTTATCAAACAGAACACATTGTATGTACTTGTATACATTACCAATTTGTTATCAAACAGAACACATTGTATGTACGTATATACACTACAGATCTGTTATCAAACAGAACACATTGTATGTACATATATACACTACCGATCTGTTATCAAACAGAACCAATGTATGTACATATATACACTACCGATCTGTTATCAAACAGAACACATTGTATGTACATATATACACTACCGATCTGTTATCAAACAGAACACATTGTATGTACTTATAAACACTACCAATCTGTTATCATACAGAACACATTGTATGTACTGATATACACTACCGATCTGTTATCAAACAGAACACATTGTATGTACGTATATATACACTAGCAATCTGTTATCAAACAGAACACATTGTATGTACTTATATACACTACAGATCTGTTATCAAACAGAACACATTGTATGTACTTATATACACTACAGATCTGTTATCAAGATTTTACTGAGTGTTTTTAATTGACAAAAAAAATCTGCAAATATGTATAAGAGAAAATATGGAAAACTATTATGTTTGTCATTTGCTGCCAATGATCAACTAATTATATTTATAACTACACATACCCTGTACATAACCTGTACATACACTGTACATACCCTGTGCATACACTGTACATACACTGTGCCTATCTGATGGCAGGGTCTACTATACTAGTACACAAGGACCTGTGTATTTGGCAGTCTTGAAGTCACTGATATATTGATCTCCAATATTGCCAGAGGCTCTTTACTTCTACCTTTACTTAAAGGTTCTGTAATGTTATTCCTTTTTCCTATCTGGTGTAATTTTGAATCTTCTGGGCTCCAACTCAAGCTGACACTGACTCCCAGTGTTGTGTCTGTGTTTGTTGACACATGTCAGTTTCACCTTATACAGAGTGTCGCAGTAAACAGCTGACATCTTGCAATATTCTCATCTTTTCATCCCAAATTTGCTTGCAGGGAGGAAATGTAGCAGTGTTGTGTAAATGGAACAAAACTGAGGAAACTGTAGTAAAAGTTTATCCCCTATAGTAAACACAGAGGTTTAAAAGTTTATCACCTATAGTAAACACAGAGGTTTAAAAGTTTATCCCCTATAGTAAACACAGAGGTTTAAAAGTTTATCACCTATAGTAAACACAGAGGTTTAAAAGTTTATCACCTATAGTAAACACAACGGTTTAAAAATGTATCACCTATAGTAAACACAGAGGTTTAAAAGTTTATCACCTATAGTAAACACAGAGGTTTAAAAGTGTATCACCTATAGTAAACATTGAGATTTAAAAAGTTTATCCCCTATAGTAAACACAGAGGTTTAAAAGTTTATCACCTATAGTAAACACTAAATGGAACAGAACAGTGGAATCTGTAGTAAAAGTTTATCACCTATAGTAAACACAGAGGTTTAAAAGTTTATCACCTATAGTAAACACAGAGGTTTAAAAGTTTATCACCTATAGTAAACACAGAGGTTGAGTCAAACTCGACTCGGATCATGAAGTTATTAGATAACATTCACATTGATATTTTCATTTTCTTTCACAGAATATGTCATGTGTGAAATGTGTAAAGCAACTAAGATTACGTTTCCAAATGACAAGGTTTTAAACTTGTCAACCGTGAAATGAACATTTCAACCCCCGGAATGTTATTTATAAATATTCTGATGATTCATCAGAAAAACTACTGACGACACAAAAATACTTGTAACAACACATTTTGGTCTTGTTTTTAACATACCTATCTAACATGGATAGAGAGACAATTGATGCCAGCATTATCCTAGCTTCTACAGTAGTTTTGGCCTTGTTAGCAGGAAAATGTATTAGCATAACTATCCTGAATACAGCATCTTAATTAATCCCACATAGACACATCTAATCCTTAAAATAATTAGTATAACTTACAAACCAAGGAGTGATACTTGTATATTTACTCAAAACAGAATACAGTGTTTACTCTTAATCTATCCTCACATATCAGATATTCTTTATATATTTCTAATTTTAACAGTAAATTTCTAGTCCAGTAACAGTAGTATTGTAAATGTAGAGGAAAATGACATGAGGCAATAGACACCTAACCAACTGCCTTTCACCAAGGCGGCCAGGGTTCGATTCCCCTGCCCGAGCACATGGGTTTTCTCCGGATTCTCCGGTTTCCTCTCACACTAAGATCCCCCACACTATCACAGGGCCAACGAGAGTGATTAATATAAGCTGAAATAACTTGGTTAATAATTGTTGTAAAATAAATAAAGTTTCCATTTAACCAACTGAGCTACTTAACACACCTCAAACTCCATCCCCTTTTTAAATCTTTATTCCCAAATAAAACACTATTTAAAACCTGGATTCATTAAGTTACCCCTTGCTCTGCACACGCCCACTATTTGAAACAACAGTTGGTCAGATGCACCACTGTTATTGGAGACAGAACAAGCAAGGGTGCCATGCAGGGTTGGAACTGGGACTTTCGACCTCTTCCAATACCCACTGAGCTACCTATACTAGTCACCACAGTCATCCAGCCAGGTCGCCCTACAGTATACGTCAATACTAGTCACCGCAGTCATCCAGCCAGGTCGCCCTACAGTATACCTCAATACTAGTCACCGCAGTCATCCAGCCAGGTCGCCCTACAGTATACCTCAATACTAGTCACCGCAGTCATCCAGCCAGGTCGCCCTACAGTATACCTCAATACTAGTCACCGCAGTCATCCAGCCAGGTCGCCCTACAGTATACCTCAATACTAGTCACCGCAGTCATCCAGCCAGGTCGCCCTACAGTATACCTCAATACTAGTCACCGCAGTCATCCAGCCAGGTCGCCCTACAGTATACCTCAATACTAGTCACCGCAGTCATCCAGCCAGGTCGCCCTACAGTATACCTCAATACTAGTCACCGCAGTCATCCAGCCAGGTCGCCCTACAGTATACCTCAATACTAGTCACCGCAGTCATCCAGCCAGGTCGCCCTACAGTATACCTCAATACTAGTCACCGCAGTCATCCAGCCAGGTCGCCCTACAGTATACCTCAATACTAGTCACCGCAGTCATCCAGCCAGGTCGCCCTACAGTATACCTCAATACTAGTCACCGCAGTCATCCAGCCAGGTCGCCCTACAGTATACCTCAATACTAGTCACCGCAGTCATCCAGCCAGGTCGCCCTACAGTATACCTCAATACTAGTCACCGCAGTCATCCAGCCAGGTCGCCCTACAGTATACCTCAATACTAGTCACCGCAGTCATCCAGCCAGGTCACCCTACAGTATACCTCAATACTAGTCACCGCAGTCATCCAGCCAGGTCGCCCTACAGTATACCTCAATACTAGCCACCGCAGTCATCCAGCCAGGTCACCCTACAGTATACCTCAATACTAGTCACCGCAGTCATCCAGCCAGGTCGCCCTACAGTGTACCTCAATACTAGTCAACGCAGTCATCCAGCCAGGTCGCCCTACAGTATACCTCAATACTAGTCACCGCAGTCAGCCAGCCTGAGGTCGCCCTACAGTATACCTAAATACAACTTCTTGACTTGAACAGGTAGATCACACGGTACATGTACTTGATAATTCTGTCACAGTACATCCACAAACTTATAAGTCCCCCCAGGAAATCTTGTTATACACCTGGATTACTATTCCTGCACTCAGTGCCCCACATAACAACTATCCTAGGCCTCACCTTCTTCACTCCTGTGAGAATATTTTATTAATTTGGTTTCCCTATATCCTAAATCTTCTGAAGTGTTTTTTTCTGTGAAGTAAACATCTTGTGATATTTACACCCCTTGTGACATCCTCACAACACAAAATCATATGATCTGCTCTTGCTAAACCATCCAACAAATTTCCCATAAAAGAAAACTAGATGATTTGTTAACATAGCATGTTGGTTTTCTTTTTATTTCAATATATCCTGCTTAGAAATGTCCATACATTTATATATTACATTACTGTGTGAAAGACTTGGAAGGATCGTCTTATATTTAATTGTGAACTAAATCTTTTTCCTGTCATGCTTTCCCAAGCATGTCCATTTCTATATTTATGTATTGCAAAAGAAATGGTATGAATGAAAAAATATTTTCTGAGTGTTTGCTCAAGTTTAAAATTTCATTCAGACAAAATTTTACTATAAATAGTGATGCATTTTGTATTTAAAGATTTTTTTAAATTTTCATTCATAGATTATCATTGCAGCATAACCTAACCTATGATGTTATCTGAGATTTTAAAAAAGATGGTGAATTAAAGGAAAAGGCAAGGACATACCTCACCTCTTTAAAAACTTAGTCTTTTTAATGTTTGAAAGCAAACTAATAACTTTTTAAAACATGAAAGAGAAAATCCTCTCAAAACAGGTAGAATCACATCTGTGATCATCACACTTTGAAAAATATGGGCATAAAAGCATTGAAATATATGTAGTCAGAAATGTTCCCACATAAATCAACATTTCAGAGTTTAATATTCTTGTTTGTGTATCATAATTAATGTGGTGTAAAACTACTGTAATTATCTTCATGGTAACCGTTTATCACACATGAACAAGTCAAAACAGGGACAGATAAACATGTGTCCATAGTATAAGAGATCTATAAAACATTTATTACTCTGTAGACTGACCAATTTTTTAGTTTGTTACATTAAGAAAGTATTTTTTGATCAGGGAAATTCAATCCTAGATTTGTATTGGTGGTGGTGATGGTGATGGTGGTTGTGATTGGAGTGGGGAGGGGAAAGGAAGTGGGGAAGGGGCAGACAGACAGTTTAATTGATAGTGTTAATTGTTTTACTTGTTCATACAGCACATTCTGCTTTATGTTTTCGACTTCACTTAGCTCAGACTGAAAGTTTATGGTCTAGGGGAGATAACTTCATACAAAAATTACCAGTTGTAAATCACTAATTTGAAAAAAATAAAAAACATTTACATTGTAATAGCCTAAAACACTTGAATTGGTTGTAACAATGGACCACACTGTATACTTGTATAATAGTGTACATCTACGGTGAAACCTGACTTAGGGACTGAAGCAGTCCGATATTATGTCAGGTATATATAAATCAGAGTTAAAGACAGAAATAGGTCTATAGAGGCTGAGAAATGTCAGTTCCCTTATTAAACCACATAAGCTTGCTCTATATCTCATTGCAAAACTCTATACATGTATCAATTTACCATTTAATTCATTATTGCAACAAAGCAATAAAGGTACACGCTGATGAATTTCATTTATCACTGGATGTCCTTATAATCAGGAATTGATAAAGCCTATGATATTTTGGGAAATTTGTACAAAATTTTATATCAATATGAAGGGACAAGTCTACTCTTTACAATACTGTAGAAGAAAAGTCTTTGTGACGTCACTCGTGTCATCAGTAGTTACTCAAAGTTGGATACCCGCGAAAAACAAAATGACACTTCAGTACCTGGTGTGGGCACCTTTTGCACGAATCTCCTATTCATAAGAACATTTATTCGCCTTAAGGGAATGTTGTTCCATTCTTGCGTTAATGCTGCGATCAACTGGGCGCGGTTAGTTGGGGGGGTTTTGACGTTTACTAATATGCCTGTCCACCTCATCCCACAGATGCTCAATGGGAGACATGTCGGGGCTATATGGGGGCCATTCCAGAGCATCAAGCATTGTCTTGCTGAAAAATTAGGTTATGACGTCTGAGAAGTGGAAGGACATGTGGTTGGAGGATCTGGTCTCTGTATCGAACGGCATTGAGGTTTTGATCCAGGACCACTAAGGGGTATTTCCATGGGAGATGCCTCCCCAAACCAATACAGAAGCCCCACCGAATATATCGCGTTCAACCACGCATGCGTCGGCGAAACGCTCACTGTGTCTGCGATATATCTTTTTCTTCCGTCTGAGCGATACAGACAGAATCTAGACTCGTCGGTGAACATCATACCCCTCCATCGACGCATCCCAAACCTATTTGGGCCATGTCTGCGCATCCAGTCAAGACGCACTTGCCGCCTCCGTGGTGTCAGAGGTGGCCCGACATAAGGTCGGCGCGCAATGATTCTCTCGGCACGCAAGCGGTTCCTGGCAGTTTGAGGACTAATGGGTCCGCCATGAGTACCTAAGGTATGCGACGCAGTCTCTACAGCAGTCTTGAATCTGTAGCGCAAGTGCGACAATCGAATCGCCCTGTCTTGTCGTGCGGTCGTTACACGCGGAAGATCGCTCCTGGGACAATCGGAAACTAACCCAGTAGCACGGAAACAGGTACAGAGACGGTTAATTGTACACGGGCCAACACCAAACTGCCGTGCGATAGCAGTTTGGCTATGACCATCCATCAACATCGCAATTGCTCTACCCCTCTGAATTTGCGTTAAGCGTGGCATCTCAGTCAATGGTGAAATCAAAATGCCAACGTGGAAAATTAATGTGGCTGAACTTAAGAGTATCCGTTGAGATTATTTGTTTGAAAAACTCCGGCTTGGCTTGATCACACCACGTGATTTGGACTAAAGAAGCTCACAAAGTCACACAATGACATCGTCACGCTTTCCTGATTTTGATTTTAGGGTAGATTGTTGAGAAGGGAGATCATTCTTGATGTAATACCTGACCAAATATTCCATTATTTCCTTACAGCTAAGATGTACTGCAGGGGGGGTAGACTTTGTGCGTTTCTTTTTTTGTTCAGTATATATATAACAATATGAAAGGCACAAAAAAAGACATTCCTTTGAATACTATTTTTGAATATTCTAAATGTTTTTAAATAACTGTATAGACTAATCACAGGGATAATAATCATATTGTTTATAAAACTTTTAATTGTATAGAATATAATAATCTTAGAACTACAGTAATTTTTTTAAATCATAATTTTTCAGAGTTAATGTAAGAACTATTACTGTCCAATAACTCATAGCTATTAACCAAGTGAAATTGTTATTACATTACCAAGTATTGGCAACATGGTGGAAAATTGATAATGGCCCTTTCCCAAGGATCTGCTGCTTTCGTTTATCATGATCCAAACAGTTGGACAGGCTTTTTGTATTGTCTAGGGAGATGTAGGCAGGTTAGGTCTTCCCAGACAAAACTACAAGGCTACAGTTCCCAGAGAAAGAATGACAATAGATTCAGTATATCACATGACCATAAACTATTGGAGTATGTTTAGGTTTCAACTCTTTATTTCTTTCAATGGAATAAAAATTGGACATTGATCAATTCAATTGAGGACATTGTATCATGGCTAAATTCACCCTTCCATGCCACGCCCCCACGTAGCAACCAAAGTCTCGTGACTACATACTCCGACAACAAATGTAAACAAGCCATAGTAAAATTTTGCCCATGGCGATGGCGGCAGCGACTGTTGCAGGACTCGGGGACATTCCCGATGATTTTTGTATGGAATACATTCAAGATGCAAACATTTCTGAAAAATGTTTATCCAGGGGAACTATTTATTTAAGAGAGGGCTATGTCCACAACCTAAATTTAACAAAAAATGATGTCCAAGCGGAGGTGGCAATCGGAGGCAGATGCTACCGAAGCATGAGAAAGGGGGAGAAGCCACACTTGTTAACATTACATGTACAGTAGGCTTACCAAAGAAGTGTGTTAAGGACGCATACTGTTCAGCTGGGTAATTATCCAGTTTGGGTCTGTCGAGTTCCGTTTTTCTTTTCTTTTTTTAATTAAACGGTTGTTCAAAATATCATGCAGTGATGTACGTTGGTTTCCTTGTTCAGACGTTTTTTTAAATAGCGGTATCCGCGGCTCAATACTTGGCAATTCTCCCTATTTAGGAGGGAGACTCACGAGTTTTACATCTACATAGTAATGACCACCTTCATCTATTTGAAGATCATGTCATGTGATAGTGGGTGCTAGGCCAAGAGAAGAAATTGAGCAAGTTAAACTAGTGAATTTGCTAAAATTTCATCTGAAAGAACAGCTCAAAAGATGCCATTTCCTTAGGGTGTACAGTACATACATACATTTGTTTTAATCTCCCCGATGGACATTTTAAAAAGTTGGCAAGTATGACAAGCTGGTGTTAAACTGTTTATTTGTGTAATCTTACCTATAGCAATATGATCATATATGAACCCCCTATATATATGTGTGTACCCTAAACTACAGACTGTAGTGCAGGCCTAACGTACAATCATGGCAGTCAATGAGTCATTAAAAATGCAAAAATTATATATAACAAAAGGTGGACATTGATTGATAACGTTAACAGTCATCTCCGACATCTGTTGCTGTACTGTGCGATTACATCCAAATAAAAACAAGGGAGTAGGCCCTATTCAAAACATTTGTTCCTAAATGTACTGTTTACAGTGAAGAAATAAAAAGTCTAAAACATGAGTCATATTAATTATATTTAATTATTCCTTTAATGCACTCATCCAAGTCCTGCAAATGAAGTGAATAGCAGCTTACATAAAGGCATAACATAGACATTTATCCCTCCCTTTTGTCCTCTTTTTAAGGACAAAGCATTAATTCTGTTTTGATAACAAATCATCAATACATTATTACCCCATGCCCCATTCCCAAATTATATAGTATTACCCTTCCTCCATTCTTCAATATCTAAGAGTGACAAGATCTGATGTGCAGCAGGCCTAGTTTACAAGTTTCTTCCATCTGCGACAGGGACTTGCGAACTTACAACGTTTCACGGTATGCCAGAGGTTCGCATCCTGTTCTGCAAATCACTGCTTGAGTGGAGATAGCAAATCTAAAAGCCAGATCTTTAAGACCAAAGTTGTGTCGCAGTCTCATCAATGTTAACAACAGTTTATCCTCGCACTCCATGTTAACTATGTCTTTCCTGTTATTATGGTGTTGTTGGGCCTGAATAGTGAGAAAGTCAAGTAGGGCCTGGAATGTTGAGAATTTGAATCCTGTATAATATTCAAATAATCCTTGAATCTGTGATTCCTCCTTTAAAATCTCCTGAACAGTCAGTGGTTTGGGTTTGTCATCACTTACAGGATTTCCCAATGTAGCTTCATGTTGTTCATACCACACTCTGTATTCATTGAATAAGACTTCAGACTGATGAACTTGTTGTTGTAGCCTCTTGATTTCAGCTGCTGCTGATAGCAGTTCCAAAGATGTTCCTGAAAAAAAGTTCTATAAATAAATCAAATTCAGCTGATTTTATTTTATTTTCAGTCTCAGAAGAATGACATTGCTTTTAACAATGGCAATGTCATGTCTTGCTGAGAAATGATTTATACCCAACCAGTAAAAGTTAGGTTGCCACCTTGTTACCAAGATTTGGTGGAAATATCAAAGGTTGCAATGTTGGAAAAGGCAACACGGTCCCAAAGTACCAACACCCTATGGAACAGACTCAGAGAGAAAAGACTTACAGCATCTCAGATGTTCAAAGTTGTAAACAGAAAGAAAGGTCCTACTGATGCTATGCTAAGAGATTTGTTTACAATAAAGACATTTTCTTCTGTAGCAACAGATTATGGTATTAGTAGGGGGAAAATTGCCAGAGAAAAATATGTCAATCAAAAGTCTGTCTAAAACATACATGTCCATGATTGTGGGTTAGTGATAAACAATTAATTTTCCCATCTAGCCGCCACACCTGATGGTAAAGTATGTGACAAAGGGGAGACTGGTATTGTGGAAATAAAATGTCCCTTTGTAGCAAGGCAGATGAGTATTACTGAAGCTTGCAATGTGATCCAGAATTTTGTACCTAGTTATGAAAACAATGTTGTAAAAATGAACAGAAAACACAACTACTATGTTCAAATACAGGGAAAACTGCTTAACTGCTATTCACAGGTGCTCCATGGTGTGACCTTGTTGTGTTCACAACAAAAGAACTGTTTGTTGAGAGAATTTATCCTGATATTCCATTTATGACCAAAATATTACCTCAAAAGATAAGGTATACCATATATAGCTTTACCTAAATCACACCAACTGAACAAACCCAATAATAATTTACACACATACATTGATATTGCCACAATTTCACATTAGAACTTGAAGCCTTTAAAATATATTGGTTTGCAATTCCTAGTCTCTAAAAATTGTATTAATTGATAATAGTTATACATGTATACAGTGAAACCTGTCTAACCTGACATTCACAAGGGCATAACATACTGGTAAGATTACAGAAAAATAGTCTGTCAATAGTCTAAATACACAGGTCATATACTATTATTTTCATAACACATGGGATTACAGCATTATGTGTAAAGTGTCTGAATAATCAGGGGTCGGACGAGACAGGCTTCACTGTATTTTATTCCAGTTAAAACTGGTATTAAATATTTAATGAAAACCAATACAATTGAAATTGTACACAACAATACCATAAGTGTTCTAGGACTATATACATATGGAGACTACATGCCAAATGAGTTTGATGTATAGTGCATAGTTCAGTTTCTGGTTTTATAGATAAAATGATATTTTGGTATCTTTCCATTTTCAAAATTTATCTCAGCTTTATACTAAAGCATATCTATACCTTGGACATCAGTTTGTACAAGATCATGTTCTTGCTGTGGTGCTGCTACATGGCCAGTACTGTCTGGAGTGTTAACTGGGACTGAAGTGGGCTGGGGATCCTCCATATCATTGCTCAGTTCAGTGCTGTGTCTTGACAATAAAGAAATGAAGATTTATTTTATTATGGGTTTTCAAGACTTAACAATTTAGGTGTAACCATAATTATTTACAATATGATCTCAATGTATTCCTCTTTTGATATATCACAACATTAAGACATGGAGAATGGGTTGAAAAAACCACCAAAGACTCATTGGTTAGAAACTAGAAAGGGATACATCTTTCAATAAAATCAATCACTTACAGTATAACTACATGCCCTGGATTAATTTATATAAAAAATCTTACTTTAGAATGTCTATTTCAATTTGTATGTATGCATACTTGACATTTTGGGAATAACAATTTGTTTATCAAAATGTTTAAACACCAAGGTATAAAGAAGTTAATTGATTATAGCTTATCTGATTCACTGCAACATATTTCCTGTCAGGACAATACTTTCTACTTGTAAAATCTATAGCACTGAAAAACTTATCATAATTGTTAAAGTCTAACGGTAAACAGTCAACAAGTATCTTCTACTTTCATTTTGTTGACATAGGGGCATGTAATACAGCTGTAATGTAAACAACTAATGGGTCAACAAAATGTTGGTTTTATTAAGATTAAAGATAATAATTGATATGTGTTTGCTGCTTGCACACCCGCAACTTTTTATATGCTTATGAATTAAACTAGCAGAACACAAGACATCAAAAAAAGAAATGATGATTCCGCTGTGCATGCCCCTGTGTTGGACCGACAGCTCTTATGTTTACACAGTGTCATAACAAGTTTTGCTCGAGATATTAAAAACATATGAATGAAATTGAGGATTATGTGAGTATTGCCTGTTTGGTCAACCATATACTCTGCTTTACTACATTATATTTTCTAATATCGGGATATAAACATACCTTTGAACAAACAAACTTGTGTCTATCTATATTTGTTGCGTTAAGCTGCGAATGGGGTCGTCCACAAGCCTTCACCCATCTCAGGCATGTTTCTAGGTTGGTTTTAGGGTTTTGGAAAGGGATTAAATGTCACACCGTTCTCCAATCTTTCTGCATATCGGCTGTCGCTGTTGCTGGTTCCCCAGGAGCACTTCTTCACCATTATTTCACTGCCGTTCGTATTTACCCTCGTGTCAATGTCCGACAAAGTTGTCGGAGGTAATGGCCGACAATCGAACTCGCGCTCTGATTGGCTGAATTTGTATAGCAACCGCGTTGCTAACAACGATGTGGAAGGGTGAATTGTCATTTTCTGTGAAGTAATCCATAGTCCCTGCCAAGCAACAGTTCACCCATCTCAGGATCAAACACTTTCTATTTTTTTCCATATGACCAACTCACTTGAACGTTAAACCCAAGACACCATAGCAGCCACCACAGACCATTGGTACACATTGGTAGCTTGAGTTGTGTGAGCAAGGTATAAACACTTTCTGTTTTATAGTCCATTTTAGGACCACTTCAAACATCAAACATAAGCCATCTGCATTAAAAACCAGACTGTTTACCACTAGGCCAAACCCGCTTATAAACCTATACTCTACAGTATAGTACCATTTAAAGAAATTGATAAAAAGATTTTTGCTTACCTTTCCATCATTCTTGTGTATAATGTGTTGTATCCTGGGAGCTCGGATGTCACAGAGCTGGTAGAACATCTGTCGACACGGTGGAATGGTGGTAGGTGTGTAGATAAACTGCTGTTCCTAAAACAGTAATGATATAATCTTAATTAGATGAAGAAAGGTTAAAATGAGAGATTCCTTCATAATTACATACATTTATTAAAACCACCTAACTATACATGTATCATACGTGCCCATGTGATTACCTGTCCGAGACACAAGCAGTATATATATATGATACGTGCCCATGTGATTGCCTGTCCGTGACACAAGCAGTATATGTATATGATACGTGCCCATGTGATTCCCTGTCCGAGACACAAGCAGTATATATATATGATACGTGCCCATGTGATTACCTGTCCGAGACACAAGTAGTATATATATGATACCTGCACATGTGATTACCTGTCCGAGACACAAGTAGTATATATATGATACATGTCCATGTGATTACCTGTCCGAAACACAAGCAGTATATATGATACGTGCCCATGTGATTAACTGTCCGAGACACAAGTAGTATATATATGATACCTACACATGTGATTACCTGTCCGAGACACAAGCAGTATATATATGATACGTGCCCATGTGATTACCTGTCCCAGACACAAGCAGTATATATATATGATACCAGCACATGTGATTACCTGTCCGAGACACAAGCAGTATATATATGATACGTGACCATGTGATTACCTGTCCCAGACACAAGCAGTATATATATATGATACCTGCACATGTGATTACCTGTCCGAGACACAAACAGTATATATATGATACGTGCCCATGTGATTACCTGTCTGTGACGACACAAGCAGAATATATATGATACCTGCCCATGTGAATACCGGTCCGTGACAAAAGTAGTATATATATGATACGTGCCCATGTGATTACCTGTCCGTGACACACGCAGTATATATATGATTCGTGCCCATGTGATTACCTGTCTGTGACGCCACAAGCAGAATATATATGATTCCTGCCCATGTGAATACCGGGCCGTGACAAAAGTAGTATATATATGATCCGTGCCCATGTGATTACCTGTCCGTGACACAAGCAGTATATATATGATACGTGCCCATGTGATTACCAGTCTGTGACACAAGCAGTATATATATGATACCTGCTAATGTGATTACCTGTCTGTGACACAAGCAGTACACATATGATAAGTGCCTATGTGATTACCTGTCCGTAACACAAGCAGTATATATATGATACGTGCCCTTGTGATTACCTGTCCCTGAAACAAGCAGCATATATATCATACATGCCCATGTGATTACCTGTCCGTGACACAAGCAGTATATATATAATACATGACCCTGTGATTACCTGTCCGTGACACAAGCAGTATATATATATGATACATGCCCATGTGATTTCCTGTTCGTGACACAAGCAGTATATATATGATACGTGCCCATGTGATTACCTGTCCGAGACACAAGCAGTATATATATATGATACGTGCCCACGTGATAACCTGTCCGAGACACAAGCAGTATATATATAATACATGCCCATGTGATTACCTGTCCGTGACACCTGCAGTATATATATGATACGTGCCCATGTGATCACCTGTCCGTGACACAAGCAGTATATATATGATACGTGCCCGTGTGATTACCTGTCCGAGACACAAGCAGTATATATATGATACGTGCCAATGTGATTACCTGTCTGTGACACAAGCAGTATATATATATGATACGTGCCCACGTGATTACCTGTCCGAGACACAAGCAGTATATATATGATACGTGCCCATGTGATAACCTGTCCGAGACACAAGCAGTATATATATATGATACGTGCCCATGTGATCACCTGTCCGTGACACAAGCAGTATATATATGATACGTGCCCATGTGATTACCTGTCCGTGACACCTGCAGTATATATATGATACGTGCCCATGTGATTACCTGTCCGTGAAACAAGCAGGATATATGATACCTGCCCATGTGATTTCCTGTCCGTGACACAAGCAGTACACATAAGATAAGTGCCCACGTGATTACCTGTCTGTGACACAAGCAGTATATATATGATACGTGCCCATGTGATTACCTGTCCATGACACAAGCAGTATATATATATATGATACGTGCCCATGTGATTACCAGTCTGTGACACAAGCAGTATATATATGATACCTGCTAATGTGATTACCTGTCCGTGACACAAGCAGTACACATAAGATAAGTGCCCATGTGATTACCTGTCCGTAACACAAGCAGTATATATATGATACGTGCCCTTGTGATTACCTGTCCTTGAAACAAGCAGCATATATATCATACATGCCCATGTGATTACCTGTCCGTGACACAAGCAGTATATATATTATACATGCCCATGCGATTACCTGTCCGTGACAAAAGCAGTATATATATGATACGTGCCCATGTGATTACCTGTCCGTGACCCAAGCAGTATATGTATATGATACATGCTCATGTGATTACCTGTCCGTGACCCAAGCAGTATATGTATATGATACGTCCCCATGTGATTACCTGTCCGAGACACAAGCAGGAATTCTATATGATACGTGCCCACGTGATAACCTGGCCTTGACACAAGCAGTATATATATGATATGTGCCCATGTGATTACCTGTCCGTGACACAAGCAGTATATATATGATACGTACCCATGTGATTACCTGTCCAAGACACAAGCAGTATATGTATATGATACATGCCCATGTGATTACCTGTCCGTGACACAAGCAGTATATATATGATACGTGCCCATGTGATTACCTGTC